CTCGAATCGAAGATCAATTAGATTTACTAGCAGGTAATACTTTATTTACATCATTGGATTTGGCTTCTGGCTATTACCAGATACCAATTTCTGAAGAATCTCGAAGCAAGACTGCTTTTGTAACGCCCGATGGGCAGTATGAATTTAATCGTATGCCGTTTGGGTTGGTAAATGCACCATCTGTGTTTCAACGCACCATCAACGAAATACTTATGGAGGCTAAAATCAAGTATGCCATTGTATACATGGATGATGTGCTTATCCCGTCTAAAACCTTTGACGAAGGCATTGTTAGACTAGAAGAAGTACTCAAACTCTTGAAGAGAGGAGGTCTAACCCTCAAGTTAAGTAAATGCAATTTCTTCTATGAAACTATTGACTTTTTAGGATTTGAAGTAAGTGCTAATGGAATCCGCCCAGGCAGTAGGAAAACAGACGCTGTCTCAAAATTTCCGAAACCTCGCAACCAACATGAATTAAGACAGTTCCTTGGGTTATCTGGATTTTTTAGGCGTTTTATCAAAGGTTATGCTACAATCACGGCATCATTGACTAGCCTTTTAAAGAAGGACTCTTGCTGGACATGGGGACCAAGCCAAGAAGAGTCCTTTTTAAAAAATTAAGGAAATACTAGTCAACCGCCCATTGCTAGCTCTTTATGACCCTTGTGCAGAAACAGAACTTCACACAGACGCAAGTAAGGAAGGTGTGGCAGGAATATTACTGCAGCGAAATTCAAAGAACACATTACAGCCCATATCTTATTTTAGTAGGAAAACAAATGCACACGAGCGTCAACTTCACTCATTCGAACTCGAAACTTTAGCAGTGGTTGCGTCATTGAATCGCTTTAGAGTCTATCTTATAGGAATACACTTTAAAATTGTAACTGATTGTAACGCCCTTAGATCCACTCTGACTAAACGAGATTTAGTAGCTCGTATTGCGCGCTGGTGGATCCAGCTACAAGAATACGACTGCACGATTGAATATCGACCAGGCGCCCGAATGTCTCATGCAGATGCGCTTAGTAGAAACCCGGTGGACTGTTCGTCTGAAGGTATTGCAGATGACCGGCTAATATGGGATGTGTTGGCGATACAGCAAAGTCATTCGGACTGGATAGTTACCGTGCAATCTGCTGATGACGAAATAAAGAAAATAAAGCACATATTAACGGACTCCAAGGCAGACCAATGTGTAGACATAATTAAAAACTACAAACTTAAAAATGAGCGCGTCTATCGAATTGTTGGCGATTCACTAAGATGGGTAGTACCTAAGGGAGTACGTTGGCAAATACTCAAAATGAACCACGACGACATCAGGCATTGTGGTTTTGAAAAAACATTGAAACGAATCCAAGAACATTATTGGTTCGCTAAAATGCGCCGCTTTGTAAAAAAATATGTGACGTCTTGTCTCGAGGGCGCACATCACAAAGCGCCGGGAGGAAAACGTGAAGGAGAGTTACATACAATAAATAAGGTCAGTATTCCCTTCCACACAGTCCACGCAGATCACTTAGGACCCTTTGTGAAAAGTAAGAAAGGGAATAGCTATTTGTTAGTTTTGATTGATGGCTTTACAAAATATATTAACATTACTCCTGTTAAGAATACAAAGTCCGTGACAAGCATACAAGTTATTAAAAACCACATAAGTTACTTCGGCGTACCCATGAGACTGATCACCGATAAGGGAACTAGCTTCACGAGTAAAATTTTTCAGGATTTTATTATGTCTTATGGTATCAAACACATCACAAATGCCGTTGCTACTCCAAGAGCTAACGGTCAAGTAGAACGTTTTAATAGGACCATTTTAGATGCTTTATCGGCATCTGGACATGGTAAAGACGATAAATCTTGGGACAATTATGTACAGGATATTCAAGTCGGTATAAATACAACTAAGCATAAAACTACACAAAGGTCCCCATCTGAGTTACTTTTTGGATTTAATATAACCGGTAAATCAGAAGGCATCCTAAGCTCTGTTATCAATGACACATTAAATGGAACTCCATTAGAAAAGTTAGACGAACTTAGGCAAGATGCTAGTACAAAAATTAAAGCACAACAAATTGAAGATGCAAAAAGATTTAATGAACGTAGAAAGCCCGCAACTAAATACAATGAAGGTGACTTAATACGTTTAGAAAAGCAAGTCCCACACGACGGAAAATCACAAAAACTTGTAATTAAATTTCAAGGCCCGTATCGCATAGTAAAAGTGCTACCAAATGACAGATTTCTAGTTGAAGATACGCCGCTTACCCGTAAAAACAGTAGAAAATATGAAGCTATAGTGTCAATTGACAAAATTCATCCGTGGATGAATTTCAATAGAGATTTTGAGTCTGATTCAACTGATAATAATACAGTTGACACTGAATAGTTAAAATTAGATATTCATTGGTTATATTATACAAACATAAAAAAAAGATAACTATGCATTTAACACCAATTATAGATTTTATGACGGAAGGTCAATTTTAAATTTTGATTTTATTATTTTGATTAATATTGTATTTATATCTATCATGCTTAGTCTAGTTTAGGATATGTTAAATGTAATAAAAAAAAAAAAAAAAAAATGTAATTTCGTTACTTTCTTTTTATACTTGCGGGGTTTTTTTTTAAGTGTAGAAGCGATGGGACTCGCTTTGAGTAGGATGGCCGAGCTGTTAGGTTAATAATTGCTATTGTTAGATTAATAACCACTATATTATTGTTTATAACGGAATTACTCGATAAGTGATTTGACTTTATATTATAATAATTATTAGTTACTTACATTAATGATTGCGGATAATGGATAGAGTAATATAATGTAACCGGAAGGATAATGTTTTGATTGCTGTAAAAGAGTGGGGCGGAAATGACGCCGCCCCACCTTGCTAACAAGTGCTAAAGGTTGATTAGTAAAATGGAGAGTGGCATTAGCTCAACGCGAGCCGTCGCAGTAAGACGTGAAGTTAAGTTGAATTGTGTATAAGTTTAAATTGTAAAGTGAGCCAAAGTGTAATAGTTTGAATCTACCGTTATGTTTTCTACCTGGCCTCGAAATAGTATTGTAGAAAGTGAAATAAAATGTAATAGTTGGAATCAACCTTTTATTTTCTACCTGATCTTGAAATAGTACAAAAGAAGTAATCCTTCAAAACATGAAATATTGATTTACCTTTAGTGTCGGTTATCAAAGTTCTTGCGAAGAGCAGTTTTTCGTAGATTTCTTGATTCACAATAAAACGTACATATTCTAATAATAATGCTGCATTATCAGGTAAAGTTGACTTGTCCAGTTGTGTAGAGAAATGGGTCGTTTGCAAATAATTACATAAGAAGCTTTCAATATCAGAACTCATTTCATCAATACGTCTTTCAACAGTATTGTTGCTTAAGGGAATTCTTTTAATGATATCAGATGCAGGTTTGTGTAAAACAGTTTTTAAAACCTCTTCAACGGCTGGCAAAATTAACTTCTCTCCAATAGTATGCGGTTTTCCGGATTTTGCTATAACGCAAGTAACGAGGTATTGTAAGACGCCCGCAAACCATCATCATTTCTTTGTGACGTCGAAGCGAACATTCTGTCCAGTGTAGGTCTCTTCTGAACTTTATCTTTGAGTGTTTGAAAGTATTTCAAATCTTTCTCTGTTTTATCAAGGTGGCATCAACTCAGATGATCTTGCAGTTTAGATGGTTTCATAGCGTCATTGCCCAAAACTTTGTTGCATAAAAGGCACATAGGCAATTGTTTGTCCGGCAATGATGGAATGAAGCCAAATTTCAAATAATCTAAACTGTACTGTCTACATTTCTTTTTAGATTCGGACATGGCATCAGTCATCTGTGGGCAAAATTAAATTATTTAAATAAGACAGAAAATCCAGCAGCTGTATATTAAAAATATTTTTTGATTTTTCCGAAAACATTCCATAATTCGAACATATTCTTGCAACAATTAGCTCGAATTACGGAGATTGCACTGTAATTATAATACCGATTGCTAAAACTTTCAAAAAGAAACTATTGAGGAGTACTCGTGTAATTTTGCATGATTGAATATTAAACTACTAATAACTAAAGTCATGATTGGCGTAATTTATATCTTTGCTAACTACGAGTACAAAACTAAAATTTAATAAAAAATTATGTACTTACTTTTCTCCAGCACTCTCAAACAAAACAACACTCACTCACTATAATTTGTGTGATATACTATCTGTTTATATTTTTTTTAAAGATTCAGGAAACGAATAAACGTATTTGTCCCACATTCGTATTTATACAGTGACGAATTGAACAAGTCAGTGCAAAGTAGCGAAGCTCTGAGACTGCGACTCTCAGGTTACTTCAAAATGTATTGCGACCACAAAGCGAATACCAACATCCTACAAACTTACACAATTTTATAAACATATATAATAATTTTTTACTTCATAGGTACTTTTATAAATAATGTATATGTTTTGACATTATAAGATAGTATGATGTAAGTAATAGGTACTATCAGTGTATGTGTTGAGATCCACTATCATGGACCCCCATTTTCATTTCATGGACCCCCAAATTTTTTTTTCGCTGACGTAGACCTGTTGCAGGTTGTCATAGACCTCTAGGGGTCGATATAGACCACTTTGGGAATCACTGTGCTATAAAATATCGATATATATAGCATCGATAGTTTTTGAATATCGTTATATCGGTATGATTTAACAGAGCATATTCGTGCTCTTACAATTAATTTATTTGGCCTAATCTACTTCAATAATCTTACATTGCTAGATAAATACTAATCAATAAACATCATTTTCAATAAATCAAGAACAAATATTAATAAAAAATATTTATTTATTAATCAAACCAATATCTATCAGATACAGACATAAGAAAAACTCTTTAATTTACGTGCTCGCCTGTCAGCCGACTTCTATTGTTGGGTACTGTAAGATTTACAGCAGATGCCACTCAACAGGTTCATCAGTCATGGTCATGGTAATAGTTGGATTAGTCGACGAAACAGGTGAACTGGTTCTTATTGTCGTTCGTTGAGGTTCTGAAGTCCTTGGTGTGATATTCACTTCGTTTTAAGTCGCAAAAACGCATAGTGATGCTTATTTTTCAGATAATCAGTTGAATTCGTCGTATTGTTTTTACATGTTACACTGGTTTTATATGTTTTTCGACACAGATTACATGAAACGTTTTGTTTGTTTATTTTTTTGAAAAAGTTCCATACAACACTAGAAATTATATATAATAAAATAGAAATCCACTGCAATGCTCAAATTATTTTGTTTTCACGAATTGTTTATTGATTGATTTAAATAATACTAGTTTTTACGGATTTTATCGCGTATATTTAACTTTTTAAATACCCAACGTTTCGAGCGCTTTACAGCACCCATGGTCACGGGGGGGGGGGACTGAGCAACAATCAACTCATCACATGCAATGCCATGATTACCTTACTGTCATGCATGGTAAAAAAATCTGCTGCGATGAACAAATAATGGCTTGCAAGATATGAATACTGCGGAAAATATCTGCTCGGGAGCGTATGGAAGGGGTTCTTGAAGATATGCTTGAAGCTGTGGTTTCGAACGTTATTGGTTGCGTGTTCAGATCTCGTCGGTGTCACCAGTTTGGCAATGGAGCGCGATTTAGGCTATGTGTTTTGTTTCTGGCGCGACGACAGCTCCACCACAAAACTATATCATGCCGAAACACAAACAGGCAAATAACCATTGATTTATCAAAATCAATATTTCAGAAAAGTGATAGTAACGAAATAGGTACCGTAAGCCAATAAAATAATTTCCATTTTAAAATAACTTTTACCTTATGTTAGTTTTCACTTGAACGACCATAAAATGTCTGTTTTCGCTCGAAGAACCATAAAATGTATGGTTTGTAAGGCCACACACTTTTAAGAAGTAGAGTTGTAGTTAGTTGATGAGCACGTCAGAAGGAATAGATCGCCAAAGTTAAAAGTTTAATTAAAAGTAAAATAGTTATAAAATTAGAATGGCAGATCTTTCCTTGAGTAGTTGGTGTTCCGAAGGACGGTTGTTGACGTACTGCCGATCGTCAGCTTGCAATTAAATAGGTAAATTTAAATACACGCGACGCCCGACCAAAGTAAATTGCAACGTTTACTAAATAAAAATATGTAGTGTAACTATACACCTTACAAGACTGTACTTAAGCTATTGACTAAGTTAAAGCTCAAACAGTATAATCATTAATAAGAAAATGAATAAAACAATTTCAACCCATTTTCAATATTTGTAAACTTATATTAATTAATTATTACAATAAAAATAACAACAATTTTATATCGAAAATGTAATTACCGATTGAAGACAATTGCACTCCTGAAGTTCAAGGATATTTATTTTCAGCTTAAAGACTATTCGTCTGTTTGGTGATTCGTTATTTAAGCACCACACTGGTTCAGGGTAGTGTAATAGAGATATTAGAATCAATGACTGCAGTTGTGAAGAATGCCAGAATTATTTCCCCGATTGTTATTGCTTAGAGAAATTGATACGGGTAGTATTATTTTTAAATTTGACCACATGAAATCTAAAATAGTTACTTCGTAATCATTTAAAATTAATAAAAGAAACAGATAAATAAATATGAAATATATACATAATTTAAGCACTCCATTGACAAAATATAACATGAGCTATTCCTGAAAATATAGTATACTTTGTTATAAATATAAACTTTGAAATATTTACTTAAAAACATTTGCAATCATTTGTTAGTATCGTCAGTTTTAAATTGTTACTTTCTTATCAAAATCATTCTAAATCACAATCTCACGAATGGCTTTTTGTACTTGCCCGATTCTAATAGGGCCTATAGTAAACTACTGTACTATTAACCTATATATCGCAAACAAACTTATTGAGTATTGAAATGTTTTTTTACCACATTATACTTAAAAACTTATTATAGCAGACCAAGAGCCCCTCGATATAATTTGCTACGGGCCCCGCGCTTGCTTAATCCGGCACTACCTATGTCAGTTATTCTATTCAAATATTCTCACTACGACATATACAGACACACTCCAAGCATAGTTCCCTCTACATAGTTCGAACTTCCTCATACAGCCGGCAAGGTCAGTAAAGGACCACGATCTCAGATCCATATTTAGATCAATATTACTTTCCTCTGTGATTCAGATTCACATAATAGTAATACCCATAAAGTAGGTAATTATTGTGCAATTTATTAATTCTGTTATTTGTGAATTTCTTAATAAACTGTAAGAGCAGGCAAGTATGTACATGTTCATAAGCCAACGGCAAAGAATGAATGAAACAGCGGGAAGCGGCCGTTTCAGAGCAACCAGGTTAGGGTAAATCTTAAGAGGCTCAATTTACGTTGTCCGGAAAAACAAAGTACCCGTAGTGTTCAAATTAAAAACCAAAATTTTTATGCTACTATAATGTGTGATCTAATTGAGGCACGATAGTTTTTGTGTCTAATTTGGTACAAAATAGTCAAAAAAAAAAATCCGAAAGTTCAAAATTTTGATACCCCTGGCGCGTCTGCTTCACATTTTGCGAAGAACTTACCAACAAAACACGAACGGAAATAAAATACATAATGCGGTGTAATCGCTATCAGGTTTGTTGGTGATATATAAAATTAAATATACCGCATGTGTATTTTTTATTTAAAACTTAAATAATGTAACACCTTAAGCTTTACATAGGGCGGACTTAATGCCATGTGGCATTCTCTGCCAGTCAACCCTAGGTGCCAAAGACAAATGATGGCAGGTGTAAACATAATACATAAATAAAGTGTACATATATTAAAACATGTAAATAAATTTTCAAGTAAAAAAGAAGAAAAAAGAAAAAAATAATGGAAAAATAATGTCAATTAGGAGTTGCCCTCAGGTAACGTCGTAGAAGAACTAGAACGCCACAAATAACGTTATCAACGTTATTTGTGGCATTCTTAATATCATTGGGGATGGTATTCAAAAGGTGGACCTGAAAAAATTAGACTTATGCTGTGGGATTCTTAAACTCAGACGGTTTGACTGTCGGGATGTTCGACCGTCGATCGAATGAAGAAAATGAAATATCCATAAGAAAAGAAGGCAACCTTAGATTGTTTAAAACAAAATAAAGTACAAATAAAACTTTAGAGCATCGCCTTTGACGTAAAGATAGCCATTTAAGCTTTGAACAATAGGATGATATGTGGTATTACTTACGTAAAAAAAATCTTATGGCAATATTAAGAAGGCGCTCCAACTTGTTTAGAAGATTGGTCCATGACGAAATTACGAAGGTCAAGATATGATTACCCTGGTTTTGTTTTGCAAGGTCGTTGATTACCCTCACCACGCCACGTTTATACAAATGTAATTTATTTATTTATTTATTTCATTGTTATTATTTAAATGTATTGTTTTTATTAGAATCGATAAAAACATCCTACTTTTTGATTTCATTGGCATTGATTCCCTTGGTATTTGCACCAGGGTTATCAAAATGCACGATAAAAAATCAAAATTTTTCTAATTTTCTGTGAAAAAAGAAAGTTTTCGCATTATTTTTTACACTTATATTTATTTTTCATATCGAGTGACGTGCAGTTTCGTGGTTACTTGGAATATAAGGCAAAATTGACTTCTAAAAAGCTTGGCATGCTCAGCAGAGCGGGGCAGTATTTCATGTCAGCACACCGCTTGCAACTTTACAAGGCGCAAATTCGGCCACACATGGAATACTGTTCCCATCTCTGGGCTGGAGCTCCCCAGTGCCAGCTCCTTCCATTTAATCGCATTCAGCGCAGAGCCGTTCGAATTGTCGGTGACCGAGCTCTTTCCGATCAGCTTGATTCAATGGCACTGCGACGAGATGTTGCATCTATTTGCGTATTTTATCGCATTTACCATGAGGAGTGCACTGATGAATTGTTCGGATTAATCCCAGCCGTCAAATTTCATTAACGCACATCGCGGCAATACTCCCGATATTATCAATATCATTGGATGATTGGCGGTCTAACACTGCGATTTAAATGAAGTTTTCTTCCTCGCACCACTTACTTGTAGAATCAACTACCACCAGAGATTTTTCCGGACCGATTCGTTTAGGGACCTTCAAGAAACAAGCCTACTCCTTTTTTAAAGTTCAGCAACGCATTTCCAACTACCCTGGTGTTGCAGTTGGTCATGGGCGGCGGTAATCACTTACCATCAGGTGAGCCGTATGCTTGTTTGCCCCCACTCCTGTAAAAAAATTACCCATTTATTATTGTTAGTTCGCGCGACTTGCCTGCATGCTATTTGAAAAATACAAATTTTATCAATATGAACAATTTATATGAATATCTTAATGTCCTTGTTCGTCTCGCAAACAAATCCCAAAAATACCAATATGAACAATTTATATCAAAATCTTAATGTCCTTGTTTGTCTCGCAAACAAAGCCAAAAAAGGGCCAATTTCTGCAACCAAAAGACTGATTAGTACTATAGAGAGGTAGAATTATAATACCTACTCTAAAATTATAATAAAACTTGACTTTCTTATATATCTTGTTTCCATTTTAATTCCCTTGTCGTCTTTTATTGACTCCCCTGGCCAAAAAAAAATTAAAATGCTATATTTTGGGAATCATCCGGCCAAAATGATGCCTGATGACTGTTCGTTAAATGTGTTTATACTTAAGTTAAATTTTATGTTACATTGTTACTTATAAAAAAATCTGTATAAATAAATTTCGCCAAGGAAATCAACTGAATATGCCGAATTTTATGATTCACTCGTTACTAATTAATTGCCGAGTAACTCATTGTAACAAAATAGCATTTATGGCCAAAGTGCTTTTGTCTCCTATATCGCGAAAGTTCGAAATAAATGTCAAAATACAAAATCATAGATCGAAATAAAAAATGTAGCAAGCAATCAAAATCCCGATGTTTTAGCCAGTTTTAACTTTTAAAAACTAAGAATCTAAGAACTAAGAATGTTGAATAAAAATGTTCCATTTAAGATATAATTTTTCATTACCTAATTTATTACTAAAAAGAACTTTCAAATCGAATTCTACTTATATAGTTGTAAAACCAAATTTAACAGCTTCAGCCTATAAACCTGGATTAGTTGAAAAGAACAAATACGAGCTCTGGGAAACAAAAAAACTTTTTAGACCTGATAATTTTAGTACTAAACCAGTATTTAGCATTGTTCTTCCTCCGCCGAATGTTACCGGGAAACTTCATTTAGGTTAGTTTAAATTTGTTTATCAATAAAAAAAAAGTTACCGTGTGGCATCTGCACTTGAGCCGAGAGTGGTACGTCCCAGTCTCTTCAGATGACTAAATAGCCATAACGGGATTCACCCATTCGCTGAAACGAGGAATAATTTCAGTTGGCTGACCACCCCACATATTGATCACTAAGAGCCAGGTCCAGTAAATACTAGTTTTTTATAGCGTAATTTATTTTCAACCTATAATCAGAATCAAAGAAACGCGAATCAGATTCAAAAAAACTATTCACTTTTCACTTGTAATTAGCTAACAAAAAAAAAGTTAACAATTCTACTGTATATTATTTTTGTAGATTTGTTACGCAATATCTTCGACAATTTTACTACTATTTAGATAACCTTAATATTGTGATATTTCTTAGTCCACTCAAAGTCGTATTATCGTCAATGGTGTGTCTTTCCTAGAATAGTGGTGTTGGGAATAGAGGCTTTGGGTGTAGTGTTGCTGGGATTGGTGGTGACGGGATTAATGCACGTAATTAAGGGAGGACGGGAGGTGCTCTTCAAACTAGGGAAGATACATAATTTTATTTAATTTAGCGGATGGTTGCAAAATAACTTAACCCATTCCATGCCAGCAACGCACTTGCGTGCGTTTTAGTTTTTTTTACTAGTGTGCCCACAACGCACCCGTATGTGTGTAGTGTATGTTTTAATAAAGTATCATTTATTCACTGTGCGTTGCATTATTGTTGCCATTTTTTAATACACCTCAATCTAGATTATATTTCTGATATAGCAACACCATTACAGTAGTAAAAGAAATGTCACATTTGAATTGACGCCGGTTTTTGTGTTTGTGATTTTTGCTAGTATTATAAATCAAGTTTTTACAGTGATTTAGGTGTTAAAAGGTAAGTAAATATGATTTTTTAATCAAATTTAGTCATTTATTTATAACAACGTAATTTTAAGTCTACTGATAATATTTTGGATAAATTTTGAAGTCCAAAACATACCAACGCTAATGTTGCGTTCAGTGGCATTTATGGACGACTTTGTTCATGGATGGTGTTACACATCGACAATAATCGGTCGCACAATGTTACTACTGCTATTGTAACTTTATAATATTATTTTATAACTTGAGATATTTACTTCAGTGTTCGTATTACATACCCTACATGGTACAAAATAAAACCGTTTGTGAAAAAACGCTTTTATTTTTAAATTTGAATGGGATGAATTGTGTAAAGTAACTCGTATTTTTGTCGTTTATAGGTCTTTTGTTTTCTCCTCAAGCATTATGGCAAATAATAATAGAGGTCGTTGTTTGGTTGAATTGTTAATACTGCCGAAGGTACTAATGTACAAGGTAGAAAAGAAAGTTATTCACAAGATAAGTACAGACAGTTGATCTTTATCTATTACTATGAATGGTTAGAATGATTTTATCCATTTAAAATCAATATATTGAATGTTGTTATTTTTTAAAGTTCAACAAAACGGAAAATAAAATGTTTCAGTGATAAAAGTAGCACATCAGGTTTAAAGCGGAAAAGGGCGAGCTCTTTATATACGGCAGTAGAAGTGGAACCTAAAAATATTCGGCGAAATTCTATTGAAACACGCTGCCCAATATTGCCATTCCCACATTCTGTTCAAAGCTAAGTAACCTACACATTTCTTTTCTTTAGTTTTGAGAGTTTTTTAAGTTTAGTTTTTCAATAGAATATTGTTGTTTCAGTAAACAACAACTATTCAATCAGTCTCCAGTACTTTGCACATCTTCTAGTGGTGTAGTTAAAACTTGGTCTGCCGAAAATGTGTCAGTATTACATTCAACTTCGAAGACCATTGTAATCTATATGGTCGCCCAAGCAGACTGTGATAACAAATCATTTACTAAAATCTTGTATAATGTATTCTGCTAGAATACCTACATTGATTAATCTTTTAGCTTTTTTTTAGATAATAGAAATATTTTTCATTTTACTATATTAATTATTATGAAAATACATACTTATAATATAATTATGAAAAAGGAGAATTAAAGACTGCTTTGATCTTATATGAGTATTTTTATTTCTGTCACTTAACCCACACCCTAACAATTTAACTATTGGTTCATGTTTCCCAGTCGTGCATAAAGCCATCCACTATATACTCTCAAAAGTGCGTTCTCGGATCTCTCGAAAAACTTTTTTCACCATGTGCCATCCACGCACCGTATGCGTTTGGTGTATTTTTTTCTTATTTATCAACAATATTTATTAAAAAAAAATCTAAATACATCATTAGTAATTCATTTCCTACCATAAAACATAATAAAAACTGGTGGCACCTGGTCAACAACTTTTAAAAAAAGGTGGCATCGAATGAGTTAATATCTTTATTATAAAGATTTCCGCAAAGTAACGCCTGATTCTATCAATTAAAGTAACTTTCGACAAAAGAAAAAGCCAACTTCAAAGAAATAATATATTTTCACAATCTGCTAAAACATTTCATGTAGATTGTGGGCCATCATTTACAAAATTGACAGAATTTGTACATAATGTGTATACTAACTTTACTGTATTTAGAATTTTTTTATTTTCAGGTCATGCACTATCCTGCACGATTCAAGATGTTATCGTCAGATATAAAAGGTCATTGGGTTACAATGCTCTATGGGTCCCTGGTACTGATCATGCTGGCATAGCTACTCAGGTACCTCCCTGATGTTATTTATCATTATTTTACTAGCACACTATCACTATCACTGCAGCCCATCTCATGTTCCTGAACATGCAGGTGGTCAATGAATGCAAGTCCGGTGGGGACTTGCATTCATTGACTACCTGCATGTTTCATCACATTGTCACTCAGTCAACCTGATGGTAAGTGGTTGCTGTAGCCCATAGACATCTACATCTATCCTTGTTTGCGAATCAAAATGCAGATACATTGTCAGCCGTGAGGGCTAAGATGGAATGCCTCTTTTTAGTAAAAAGGGTCTCCGGTGCTCTACACTCACCATATGAAATACAGCAGCATTAAGCTGCTATTTTATGAGCCGACCCATTCATGCTACAATTATACATTTAATATAGCTGCAGCATGGCTCTAACACGTTAAAACCATTTATTGCTACATCAGCTTACTGAGGCTGTGCTATGTCAGTAACTCATGTTTTTTGTGGATCCTCATTAGATTTTATCCCTATAATCCGATATAATGTCACCCTATGTTAAACCTCCCTACAGTTAGTTACCTCACAGTGACCCCTGTTTCTACCTCCAAAACTGGTTTGATTTAAATTTTATTTTCAAGAATAATTAAAAGAAAGATTGTCACTATCTGTATGTTATTCTTTTATTTTTATGTTTTTTAAATGTATTTGTAGGATATCTTATATCAATGGTATAACTGGACAATAAGAACCTAGTTTTAAAAAAAAATATATAGAAATACATAACATGGGAACATGGCAGTTGTTGATATGTATTGTATTGTAAAAAAAAGTTGATCTAATGTTATTACTCATTACCGAGGGAGCAACAGGCATACATTTCTAAGGATTTAGTGCCACCTGGATAACCTATTATGCATCTGTACACCCATTAATAGGTTACGTTTTGTAGTGTATATCAACAGTGGGTTATATTAGACTCATTTTTCATTTAAACATTGTAAGAAAAAACCGTTAATATTGCACATATTTTAATCATTGGCTATTATTGATTTCAGGGTGTAGTAGAAAATTATTTAAAAACCAAACAGAATGTCTCCCGTCATGTTATTGGTCGGGAGCAATTTAATGCAGAAGTTTGGAAATGGACAGAAAAACATGGCAGCACCATATGCAATCAATTACGTACCTTGGGATGTTCACTGGATTGGTCTAGACAGATCTTCACAATGGATCCAAAACACGCCCATGCTGTAAATACTGCTTTTATTCAGTTGTTTGAGAGAGGCCTAATATATCGTAAAAAAGCTCTGGTAAATTGGTGCAATGCCCTCAAGTCAACCGTATCAGATATTGAAGTAGAAAATTTACCAATAAACAGGCCAACAGATTTAAAGCTTCCCAATTATGAAAAGCCAGTGAAGTTTGGCTTAATGTACGATTTTGCATACAAAATATATGACAGTTCTGAGGAAATTGTTGTGTCGACAACAATGCCGGAAACAATGCTGGGTGATACGGCGATTGCTGTACATTCAAATGATTCAAGGTATTTTTAACCCTGTAAATATTGTATATTAGAGAGGATTTGGAGGACTAACTTTAATAGCCACACTTATTAGGCATATTGGCGTAATAACACCAGTCTTAAACGTCACTCGATATTTCTGCCACCAAGGATATTCATATTGTAAGTTTTATTTTATTGAATAAGGGTGACAAACAAACATACATTCGACCTTAAGTTAAGTCGATGCTGTGGCTTATAGACGTGCATAGTCAAGTATAGTAAGGCCTAAACTAGCATGCCTCATTTCCGGTAAAAAGTGTCTTATTCTTAAATCGAATCATTTATAATGCATAGAATTCTTGTTCTTCCCTATGAGAAAATTCTCCCCTTGTGGATATAAAAGCACCTCCCTGATGGACGAATATGCAAATTTTTACTAAAATGCCCGATCATCTGAAATATCTTCTTCATTATCATCAGCCAGCAAAAGTCCACTGCTGGACATGGGCCGCTCCCTCTTGCATGGTTTTTCCTCAACTGTCACACTTGCGAGGCGGATTGGCAATCACAGTGCCAGAAGACTTGCACCTTTAACATGATGCCTAAACAAACATGTTTATATGTGGTAGAGCCACGCTGCAGCTATATTATAGTTGTAGCACGTATGGGTCGGCTCGACCGGGGAAGGACCACGCTCTCACAGAATACCAGCGTCAAATAGCAACGTAATACTGCCGTATTTCGCTGAGTGTAGAGATCTGGAGACCCTTTTTTACTGGAAACGAGGCATTCCATCTTAGTCCTTAAGGGTGACAATGATTCTGCGTTTTTGTTCTTAATCGAGGATAAATGTAGATGTTTATGGGCCACAGCATCCACTTACCATCAGGTGGACTGTGTGCTATTTTGTTACCCTTATTCTATATAAAAAAGGTATACCGCTGTATATTGCAAGCCATAAGTTTTTTGGTGAAGTAATGGATTCTCTTAACCCAACACCATACAATACTATGCTGAAATATGTAAAATCCAAATTTCGCAGATGAATCAATGAATTCCATTGCGAGGGTATTGGCTATGCGTTCATCAACACTACTGCCCAGTGTGGTGAGTATAAGCAATTCTATCATATAAATCATACCTGCTGATGAATCCCTGCAAAGATAAGAGAATGTACCAATAAACAGGCCCACCTACAGACTTCAGTAGCGGTCTTAAAAGACTAGAGAAGAGAGCATTATTAATAAGTTTCATTTTTATTTATATTTTCCAGGTATAAACACTTTCGTGGAAAGAGAGCAGTCCATCCATTCAGAAATGACACAATACCTATAATATTTGATGATATGGTTGACATGGAACTAGGCACTGGTGCCGTCAAAATAACTCCAGCACACAGTAAAATCGATTACGAAGTTGCAAAACGTCATCGCCTACCAATTATTCAAGTAATTAATGAAGAAGGGACAATGCAAACTGTTGAAAGTTTTGACAAAATGAAACGTTATATTTGCAGAGAAAAGTTGCTACAAAAGTTGGATGAAATGGGACTTCTTAAATCTGTTAAAGCCCACCAAATGACCTTACCGGTTTGCAGTCGAACAGGAGATGTCATAGAACACCTACCTAAAGAGCAGTGGTTTTTATCATGCAGGAAATTAAACAAAGCTGCGGCAAATGCCGTCAGCACTGGTCAGTTGAAAATCAACCCAGAAAAGTATGTTAAAAATTGGAAAAATTGGACTGGAGATGAAAGGGATTGGTGTATATCCAGGCAGCTGTGGTGGGGTCATCAGATACCAGCATATAAATGTAATGTTGATAAAGATGTTATATGGATTGCAGCAATGGACGAAGTGTTGGCGAAAATTCAAGCATCTAAATATCTGAGAACTGCACCTGAAGAAATTACAACCGAAAGAGACTCGGATGTCCTTGATACTTGGTTTTCATCTGGAATTTATCCATTCGCAGCATTAGGTTGGCCAGAACATCATGACAGTGTGGATTATAAAGATTTTTATCCACTCGATCTACTAGTGACTGGACATGACATTTTAGGCTTCTGGGTGCATAGAATGGTAATGTTAGGCCTTGAATTAACTGGAAAATTGCCTTTTGATAATGTCTTGTTACATGGTGTGATATGTGACAGTAAAGGTGTGAAGATGTCTAAAAGCAGAGGAAATGTCATAGATCCTATTGACGTTATAAATGGAATTTCTTTGGAAAACTTAAAGGAAAAAGCAGTAGAGATGCAGAAAGATGGAATACTTAAACCAGAGGAATTGAAAAGAGCTCTTGCTTATTACAAGACGAATTATTCAAGTACAAATGGTATTCCAGAATGTGGAGTAGATGCTCTGAGATTTACTTTATTATCTCAAGATATTAAGTCTCATTTCGTTAACTTTGATGTGCACCAATGTCACGCTAACAAATTATTCTGTAATAAAATTTGGCAAAGTATTAAATATATGCAGCTATCTTTTGACAAATTAAAAGAAATAAATGTTGAAATAACTCATAATGATTTGACTTATTTTGATAAGTGGATATTAAGTAGACTGGCTGATATGGTGGAGAAAGTTAATAAAGCAATGAATGAATACGATTTCCATTTAGCAACTAAAGCAATAAAAACACTTATTTATAATGAATTTTGTGACATTTATCTCGAAGCGACTAAGCCTGGATTTGACAATGATGATGATGAGAAAATTGGATATGCACATGCACATACACTTTCAGTAGTTTTGAATTCTTCATTGCGATGTCTCGCGCCAATAATGATTTATATCACTCATGAACTGATACCAAAGATCCCAGCTTTTGAAAGCAATATTATTCACAATTTTTATGATGAAAATAAAAATCATTACGATTTTCCTAAAACGCAAGATTTTGAAATATGGAAAAACAAATACCTAGAAAACCAAGTTGATAGACTATTGAGTGTCGTAAGTCTAGTGAGAGAATTAAAAGGAATGTATAATATTTCAAACAAAGTTCGGTCGTCAATATGTATTAAAACAAACGACGATGTTCTAATGTTAGATATAGATAATAACGCAAATATTGTTTTGCATCTAACAAGATGCAGTGACATCAAAATAAATCTAGAATCTAATAAGAATACTGTGTCGGCTCTGCTTGATAAAGGTACACAAGTGAGTTTAGAAATCGAAGGAGATAATGCAGTCACTGTAATATCAGCCGCGAAAGAAAAATTGAGGAATAGAGTGAAAAAACTAGAGGAAAATTTGGCTAAATTAGAAGCAAAATTTTCAAGTCATCACTATGTCACTTCCGTACCAGAACACACAAAGGCATTAGATAGAGAAAGACTATTGGTGAAGAGAGAAGAGTTAAAGCATTTACAAAGATTGATTTAGCATTATTTTGCTATATTTTATGGATATATTGAGATAGTCATGTATAATAAGCCTGCCACTAACCTCAAGCTTTTAACTTTTGTTGTTACAACAGAAAAGAAGGGTAAACAAATCCATAATCTTTGCTCTTCTATGTAAACAACAGTTTGAATGCCCCCAGTGTTTTGCCATTAATGACTATCGTCGGTACTGGAAACGATTTTGCAATTGGATTTTGTAGTGACCCTCTCACCATTTGGTGATATATGTCAATTTTCATCCTCACAGTCACTAAGATATCACTAACCAAGTATAGCCTGTTCCTTATAATGAAGTCAATCTCATTTTGATGAATCGTCGAGGCTGGACCAGATCCACTTTCAGTGGCATCGATTCTGGAAAAAACAGTTCAACTAATGGGTCCCATTAGTTTTTTTCTCCATAAAGTCAGTTAACTTTTGATCCCATGGGTTGTGTGGCCATTTTTTTAGTTCACTGTCTTTTATTCTTCCAAGTTTTGCGTTGGAGTCTCCAAACAATACCGAATAGTGGGTTTTAAATGAATGCACGATCCTAAGGATATCATACATCTTCACCTCATTATGGGGATGTGCAGAGGTTGGTGCATAATTCTGTGTATGACTTGCTGCGAATACCCTTCGTTGATTCTGGGTATAAGGTATCATATTACGCAATCCTTATCGATGCACTCCCAATCTTTACAATGTTGTTAACGAGAAACTTATGGACGACAAATATAACACCTATTTAGACCGTCGCCCGCACGGTAATAGAAAAAGCGTCTCCTTTCTTCAAAATTAATCTCATAATATTATACCAACTTGCCTATCTCTACGTCCAACTCTAGAATCTTTTCATCGGTCCTCAGAGTGAGAGCATCGAAGGTGTCGGTTGCCACCTACCATAAATAAATTTCGCCATTCGTCATTCCCTGCCCCGCCGATAACTTGGTCGCCAAAGGTAGGATTAGCAGGGCTACTAGGGATTATGGGCCGTTGTCATGGGGAGATGTTTACCTTAGTTGCCACGCTTGGCAGGCGGATTGGCAACTGAAGTTTTTTACTAAGTTATCAGGACAATGCTGCTATCCATCTAACTTAGTTTCTCTCTGTTGGCCATTACGACACCCCCACGTTAATATGGGGTAGTTTCTTTTACGCTGTTACTACACGGTATTATATTATTATAAATTTATATTATATTGTATATCAATAGGTTAAGTAAATAAAATACACAAAAACGTTAAAATAAATATATCTTAAAATGTTCTTTTTTTGTAATTGTGTCCGAGGTTATATATTGCCTGTGCCTTTAATTTGAAATTCTTTGGAAAATCTGGAGCCGAGGACCGACGCCCTCCCCCTATAATCCTGGATCTGCACTGGAACAGAGAGGTGAATGTTATGGGACCATTACATATTTGTAGCCGTATACTAGATGACTATTTTTACCGTCTGGAAAAAAATAGTGTGTAACAGGTGAACGGAGAGAGCCTATAGCACTGATATTTTACAAAAAAATAAAAATTAAAATTTTGAATAAAATAAATAAATCAAAATCTATCTAAATTCAAATCATATCCATCCTACTTTAAGAACGGCAATAAAACAATAAATTTAGTAGGCATCTTTGTTAATGTCCATTCGCACGATGACAGGCTCGAGGGCAAATCCGCCCGCGCCTTCAACTCTCATTTGATTTATCCGTAGTTAGCCAAGGCATGACGTCGCGTCGATGTTGTATTATGTTTCCGCGTGTGTATTGTAAACATGTACCAATACTCCTATGTCAAGTATTTTAACATTGACGAGCCAATTCGGTGATAGGTGAATAGATCGCAGGCGGTGAGATCACCAGACCTCTAGACACCTCTAGACTTATTTGTGGGCCGAACTAAAACGAAAGAAACAGAAGAAGCACAAAGTGTTAGTGATTTAAAGCAGCATATAATAAACGTATTTAATGTGATAAAAAGTGATAGAGACACGCTTTGAAATTTAACAAAAAATTTACAAAGACGTGCTAGTTTGTGTTTAGAAGAAAACTGTAGACATTTTTAACAATTACTGCGATATCGCTAAAAAGGTAATATTTACTTGTAAATAATAATAATGTAGTGTAATTTTATAAATATCAATCAGTGTAGTTTGTAAATAAGTTGATTTCAATCTTTAATATACGTCAGGATGTTGCAGTATAACGTAGACATAAAATTTATTATTATAAAGTGTTTATAAATTCATTATAATGCAAGATAAAATTTAACACGTAATTCTACGCAACTACAGCATATTAGGCGGTCCCAACGACTACACAGCCCGAATAGACGCCTCATGAAAGGCGACCACTTTCTGTCAACACATCAGACAAATACGTCTTATGTAAGAAAACGATCGCGCGATCTACTTTAGTAGCGACCACCATCCGACCACTTCCCTGACCCGTGAACATCTTGCATGTGACTCGTGAATTTTCGAACAAAATAAAATACAACAGACGCGCAACATGGTTCCCTGTACAATAAAATAGTGCGAAAAGGCTAGTATTTCCAATATGGACCATCGATTTCAAAGCCCATATTTTTTTGTAGATAGTACTCACTAAAAGAAAGCGTTTTGCAAAGTTTTAGGTTGCGGAAACTTACGGTTCATGAGATATATTTTTTTAAACTTTTCATACAAACTCAGACGAAATAAAAACTCAAGACAAACTGTCAACAAAGAAGTGAGGTCGGTTTGGTAAACATGTGTGCACTAAGCGAGTGTTGCCGTGCAGTAAAAATTTATTACCCTAATATATTATTGTCTAAGAACTATCAGGATGAATGAATAAGTAAAAAGACAAAGATGTTACCTATAAAACATCTTTGTAAAAAGATAAGTTGGCAGTTTTTTCAATTGTATACCTCACTTTAAGAAGTAGTATGTAAGTGTAATTGATAGAATCAGCCGTTGCTTTGCGGAAATCCATTATAATAAATAATTTATTATTTTGCAACCTTCCGCTAACTAATTAGTTAGCGGAAGGTTGCAAAGTAATAAAATATTTATTATGTATGTAAGTATGTTTATTTTGACTAAGATGGGGAAAAATAAAACAATCGTAATATGAAAGAAACATTGTTTTTATTTTAATAACCTTTTTGTTAAGTAAATTTTTTGAAATATTGCCGTTTATTGTTCACCGTTTTGGAAATTGTTTCCAATTTAGAAATATGGTGGAAACGAATTGATAAATATTTTTCAATTATGCATCTTATTAAGCTTATTTTATGCTCTTGACCAGCATAATTGTACTCAGTCTCCAATTTAGGGAAAAAGTTGTCAGTATCAATAAATCGTTTTAAAATATTAATAACAACTGATTTGTGTTGGTTTTCAGTAACTATCACTATGCTTTCATTACATTATTTACGTACAACAGTTTCACAAATTACGCAAATTTCAAAAAGGTCTTTCGACGGAAAGATTAAGCCACCTTTATCTTTTAAAGATATCAGTTTATGGAAGTCAAATATCTCATCCGAATGTAAGCGAGTTAGACACGTTTGACACTTTATGACCCTTGACAAGTAATGCGCTGTACTTTCTGATATATATCCGCTAATGTATTTATTTCGGATGGGGAACCTTAAAAATATAGATTTTTGAAGTGATGATAAAACATGGAAAAACATAAAAATAATGCGTATTTACACTTACAATAATTTTATAAATATTATAAGTAAAATAGAAATACATTAAATAGAATTACATTAAGTTTCCCGTCACATTAATAAATTACCGAATAAATGGGGACTACTGTGACGCTCACTAGTTGCAACACTTGTCGACGTTTTATGTTTCTAGCTGTCAGAATAAATAATAAAAACGATTAATTAAAAATTTGGATTTTTATGTATACTTACGTATTAAATGTGATTCCATCCCGTTTTTTATTTCTGGAAGATTGGTTTTTACACCCTTTCACAACACAACTCGGCATTTTTTCTTTAAAAACTGCGAATTATTATAACGGGACACTCCGTGCGCTGGAATAGCTCGAAAGGCGTAGTTTTGTTATATTTGTGTGCGTGAAACTGTGTATGTACAAAGCGAGGCGTAGTTTTACCTGCCTCAGTGCGTTGTTCGACGGGGCTCTGTCTTGAGTTTTTATTTCGTCTAAGCATACAAATTGGTAAATAACACGCACTTACAAAATAAATTTGACAAATGATTGATGTCAAACGTCAGTTAGTGTAGAGTTCCGAATATTTTGAAAGTATCGATACCTATTCGATACCAAGTATCGTATCAAAAGTATCAATACTACTTGGTATCGAGTACATTTCGTTAATTTTGGAGACGAAAAATTATGACAAACCAATTAGATGCATAGGAAGAGCTGATAAGTGCAATTATATATGTATATAAAGTAGAATAAAGTTTACTCTATTTAAGTTCCACCTCAGTACTTGTATTTCATTGTTGGCAACTTGTTTGTATTTCTTAATTAGTACAGCTTTTGTACTTTTATTTTATTGTTTACAACTTTCTGTATTATCTAATTCTTACTACAATAAAGTATTTACTTACTTATTGACTTACTTATTTAATATCCAAAAAGTACCCATAACCGAATCAGAGCACCCCACTATCCACGTGGTCTTGTCTGCCCTACCCGTAAAGTGTATATAAGAGCCCGGAGGTGCGGAGGGAGAGCAGTGCCCGCCCGCCGTAGGCGACAAAAAGCCGAAGCTGCGAAGGCGAGCTCAGGTGCCTGTGCTTCCCTACGCTAGGGCGGAGGCACTGCTCATCCCGCAGCGCCGGAGCTGCCACGGAGCGCCGGAGCACAACTTCCCGGCTTCTTACCCCCCTAGTCCCCAAAATTAACGAAGTGTACTCTATACCAAGTAGTATTGATACTTTTGATACGATACTTGGTATCGAATACGTATCGATACTTTCAAAATATTCGGAACCCTACACTAATTGACGTTTGACATCAATCATTTGTCAAAA